AGACAACAAGGCTTTCAGTGACCAGATCAGTTCAGGTTATCTTAACCTTACAGTAAGGATGTTAAGTCTTATCTATAAAGGGCCAGTGTGTTTTCAGTCCAACTAAGCAGCATCACCCCTTAACTCAAGCCCAATGTGAGAACTGTCCAATAGGAACATCCCTTATCTCTCCTTTGGTTGGACAGTGCTTATTGTAAGTTATCAGCTTAGCTGAGAAGTCCTGCTTTGTAAAACACCCCCTTGATCAGATGTTTGAAGACTAAAACTAGTACAACAAAGGAGGACATCAGTTGAGCTCCTGCTTGGTGGAAATGAAAAATCTGCAGCCACACAGTCCTTCTGTGGATAAGACTGGACAGTAATGAGCATTAGAATCAGCAGTTTGACCAACAACAGGACCATATGTAGCAGAACTGACACTCACTGAATGATTCACTACATTTTTACTAATGTGCATAAAATTAATACCACATAATACATGTTTAGTCTTTGCTGTATTTAATTCACCACTTTATCAATGACCTGTAGGAGACTTTTATTTTGAAAGAGTGGTTGTACAGTCTGGGCGATTGGAGTCTAAAATAACAAAGCGGCATCAGTCCATCCTTTTTTCTTTTCCACACTGATGTATGAGATAGATCTGCAGTGTGATGACTATAATTCACAGGTTTGGTGTTAGTTTTCACTGCTATGCTGACGACATGCAGCTCTACATACCTGCTAAACCAAATGAGGCTCTGAATCTAAATAATCTTGAAGGATGTGTTAAAACATCAAAAGCTGGATGACCAACAATTTCCTTCTTCTTAATCCTAACAAAACTGAGGTTCTACTAGTTGGACCCAAAGCAGAGAGACCTCAACTCTCCAAATGTGAACTAAATTTAGAGGCCATACGGTCATTCCAAGCACTACTGTAAAAAATCCAGGCGTCGTCTTTGATTCCAGTCTCTCTTTTGATACGCATGTTTGCAACATTGTTAGAACCACATTCTTTCACTTGTGTAACATCACTAAACTACACAATATTCCAGCCCTAAATGATGCGGAAAAGCTGGAGCCTTTATAACCTCCAGGTTGGATTACTGTAACTGGTCCAGAATGCAGCTGCTTACAGGGACCAAAAATTTGACCATATATCCCCAATCCTATGGTCATTACACTGGCTACACTTTAAATTTCCTGTAGAGTAGAAAATCCTTCTCTTAATGTATAAATCATTAAATGGCCTCACAGGATTAATTATTCTCCAGGATTTACAAGCAATACATCTTATGACAATATATATAATATACATGTCTGTCCTGCTAATCAATCTCTCTCTCTCTATCTCTCTCTCTCTCTCTCTGAAATCAATCTCTCTCTCTCTGAAACCAATCTCTCTCTCTCTCTCTGAAATCAATCTCTCACTCTCATTCTCTCTGAAATTAATCTCTCTCTCTCTCTCTGAAATCAATCTCTCTCTCTCTCTCTCTGTAATCAATCTCTCTCTGTCTCTCTCTCTCTGAAATCAGTCTCTCTCTCCCTCTCTGTCTGAAATCAATCTCTCTCTCTCTCTGAAATCAGTCTCTCTCTCTCTCTCTCTCTCTCTGAAATCAATCTCTCTCTCTCAGAAACCAATCTCTCTCTCTCTCTCTCTCTCTCTCTCTCTCTGAAATATGAAATTTAATTACATAATTAAATATTTTTAGCCAAATTTGGATTGGTGGGTTGAGTGTGTTTATTGATTGTTTAATAGTAAAATATACTTTTCTTGCTTTTTCTATTAGTGCATTCATTGTTTTGTTATAGTTACCAGATGCATTGATTATTAGTCCTAAGTAATTATATTCCATAGTGTGCTGTAATATAGTCTCACCAAACATAAAATGGAATTTTGATTTGTGTGATCTGGCTTTTTTTTTGAAAAATCATAATTTTGGTTATATTGATGTTGATGTCTAATGCCCAATTTTGACAGTAATCTTCTAATAAGTTGATGTGTTTCTGTTAGCCTTGTGCTGTAGGAGCTAGTAAGACCAGATCATCTGCGTATAAAAGGAATTTTATTTCTTTCTTATTTAGTTCTAATCCTAAATTTGATGATTGTTCCAGGGTTGTGGCCAGGTTGTTGATGTATATGTTGAAGAGGGTCGGGGCCTTGATGCACTCCATGTCCTTGTTTGAAGAATTCTGTTCTTTTGTTCCCTAACTTAATTGCGCATTTGTTATCATTATATTTCGATTTAATTAAATCATAGACTTTTCCTCCTATACCAGTTTGGAGTAATTGGAAGAATAGTCCATTGTGCCAAACAGAATCAAAAGCTTTTTTAAGGTTGACGAAACAAGCAAATATTTTTCCTTTGTTTTGCCGATGGACGTGTTTTTGAATGAGTGTATGCATGGTGTAAATATGATCTGTTGTCCTGTGTTTTGGTAAGAAGCCGATTTGGCCTTTTGCGTTATGTTCCATTAAATATGCTAATAATCTCTTGTTTAGTATACTACAGAAGACTTTGCCTATATTGCTGTTCACTCATACACCTCTGTAGTTACGTGGGTCAAATTTATCACCGTTTTTATATATTATATATATTATATTATATAGATTTCTGTGTTTTCTATTGGACAATTTTCGTAAGGTTTTCTTTGATATTAAACATTCTGAGACAAACCATCTTTCCTTTGGTTTTTGTTTCGATTTTTTGGTTCTTAATGTCCTTAGTTTTGATAGTTTTGTCAGCTGGTAGAAAACTTTGTTTAGATCATCTGTTGCTAAGTTTATGCCTTTTTTGTTAGTCTTGTGGTTTGTTTCAAGGAACGCACCCAACATTTGCTGGATCTTATCAGAGTCTAAAGCTGCTGTGTAATCAGTGATGCTCTGTTCTGTCCATTTGTATCTTTTTGGGAGAGCGCAGCTATCTTTGTTTTGGACTTGTTTGTTTTTTTTTGTTTTGTTTTGTTCAAGTATAGTACTATTGGGCTGTGATCTGATAAATGGAGTTGTGGTAAGACTGTGAAAGCATTGATGTGTCCAGGATTCATGTCTGTGATGGCATAATCTACTACGCTACTGCCCAGAGCAGTAGGTGAATCTGCCCAGGGAATCTCCTCTCATCCTGCCATTGACAATGTACAGACTAAGGCTTTTACATAACTGAAGAACATGTTTTCCATGTTTGTTAATTACACTGTCATAACTCTGTCTCTGAGTTGTTATATTTGTGTGGTAGAGGGGATTTGTTTAGGTATGTGTGTTATTTCCTCTAAATCAATGAAATCTTGTTCTCTGCCAGTTCTAGCATTTATATCACCGCAGAGCAAAATGTAGCCTAAGTTCTGAAAATTTCCTTCTGAAGATTTTCAAAGGTGTCTTCTAAATAATAAGGAGAATTTGGTGGAGGTATATAAATTGCACATAAATAGACATCTCTGTCAGTTTCTAATAGATTCATGTTAATTTTCATCCATAGATGGTTTTTACCTTTTTTGATTGGGGTTATAAATGATCTGTATTCTTCTTTATACCACACAAGTATACCACCAGAGTTTCTACCAGTTTTGATGTGATTGTGTTTTGAAGGAGGTACGTGTAGTTCTATGTAATGGTTTGGGTAGAGAGAATTGATGTGGGTATCCCATGTTTCTTGTAAGATGATTAAATCTCTATTATATACACTATTTACAAAATCTGGATTTGTCAATTTTGAACCAAATGTTGAAGAGAATGAACCTTGAATATTCCAACAACTAACTGAAAAAGAAGCCATTGTCAGTCAATTACAGGTATTTCACAAAGAGGTATCCAATCTATAACCTAACCATATGATGAAATAATCACTGTTTTTCTAATAATCTCAAGTGAATTAATAGTAATGACTAATGTATCTGAATTTAAATGAAGTAAAACACTAGTAAGTAGAACTAGTTAAGTAGTTTGTGACAGAGCAGGGTGATAAAGTCTCTTATCTGACTGGACTGTAGCTGGGTGGGTGCAGGTGGAGTTCCTCGGGCCACTACGGCAGCATAAGTCTCAGGCTGTGGTGCTGAATGAGGGGTGGTCTGAGGCTGTGGTGGCCAGTGGATTTGAAGAGGCTGGTGATGTGGGGTGTGCAGTGGAGTGGGGGTGGAGGCACTTAAAATCTCTCTGGGGTCTCTGGCTGCTCTGCTGGGGTGAAGGTTCTGGGATGAGTAGAGCTGTTCAGTTGTGCGTCCCAGTCTTGAGTGGACTGTAGGTCTGTTCTGGCATAGAACTGTGTCTTTAATGTTTTTTACAAATAGTTTCACTCCTTTTTGATTGAGATGGAGTCGATCGTACAGGTGTGCATGAAGAATTTGAAGCGCTAGTTGAACATTTGATACCTGTGTACACAGTCTGTAGATATCTGCATTGATGTTATTGATTGCATGTTGCGTTGTGTCCAGTCGTGGTAATAAGGTGGAGATGGTGATTGTAGCTGTGGGGAATCTCCTGCTGGCTTTCATGGCTGTTTGTTTGAGTGCTTCAGGTATGTTTCTGCCTCTTTCAGTGAGATTATTGGTTCCGGTGTGAATGATGATGTGCTGAACTCCTTCTCGATCCATGCTTGATAGCTGATCAATGGCTTTTGATATGGTTGGAGTCCAGACTTTTGTTGAGTTTTTGTTTGGGAAAAGACGCTTCATGTCCACTATTTCCCGTTGGAGTCACACATGAATATTATTTGGTGCTATTTCTTCTCAGAGGGTGGTGGTGTCTGAGTGTTGTGTGCAGGTTTTACAGTGTTGTGGAGGTCAGTTGTGAGCGTCTGTGTAGGTTTTGGTAGAGTGGTTTTGGGGGGAATAGAGGTTGTAGAGGATCAGGAGAAAGAAGTGGGAAGGGCAGAATGTGAGGGCTGGATCAGCAGTGGTGTTTCAGAGGGGGTGAGGGTGGGGGACGAAGTGAGCCCATTCTTGGTCTGTCGTTGCTCCTCAGTCTGGCTGGGCTGCAGTATCTGGGTTGGGGTGGTGGTGTGTGATTGTGGCCAGCTCCTCTGTCACTCTCCGTAAAGCCATTCTCAGATACTGGTTGTCATCCTCTAGTTCTCTCATGGCCTGCTGTAGTTCTCTGATCTCGTCTCTCTGCTGCTGTAGTAGAGAGTGCAGTTCTCCTGCTGGCTGGTTGTTGTTGTTGTTCTGATGCAGAACAGACAGAGTTCTCTCTTTAAAATCTATGAACTCCTGCTCCAGGACAGACAGCCCCTCCTTTAGAGTCCTGACGCTGCTGGCTAGCTTAGGCGTGTGTTCTATTTGTGCTGTTATGGTGGGGCTCTGAGGAACGTCCTTGTGTGGTGGTGTTTGTGGAGCTGTGATGTTCCTCTTTGACATTACTGTTTTCTTCATGTTTAGGAAGCAGTTTTGGAAGTTTTGTAGACTTTTTTCAGATCCCTGAATCATAACTGTTTCATTATGATATATATTGACTGTTAGGATGGGATATGTGTATTCAGCATTCTCGTATGTGCTGATCTGTCTTCCTTTGCTGATTCCTTTTTTCTTTATGTGAGGAAATGTCTCACATATTACTGCATGCCAGTCTGCAGGATGATGCGTGAAAAAAGCAGGTTGCACATTACCTTGCGGTTGTCCTTTGAACTGAAGTCTCCCACTAGTATTTCTGGGTTGTCGTGGAGAACTTTTGTTTTGAAATTTTTCTTGGCTTTTATTGATTTTGCTTGTTGAGGGCATCAGATTTCACAGCCGTCCAGCTGTAGCGAGTGTCCGTTGGAAGCGGAGGAATCTGCTGTTTCCATCTTCAGTCTACTTTTTACTGTCTGCCTTCTTTTCTTTCTTTTCTTTTCTGCCTTTCTTTCTTTCTGTCGTTGTTCTCTGCGGTTTCTGTCCTGTTGTGTTTAGTTAGCACCGCTGTTTCACTGCGTTAGGCCACTGTTTGGCCGTTGGTTACTTTGTTATTAGTAACGGAATATTTACCGGTGCGTCTTCAGCTGAGGTCACGGCCCTTGTATTTCGTCTAGAGTTGATATAAAACTCTCGTTTTTTCTCCCAAATGTTGTTGTGTTGTTTAATCTATTGTAATATCATGTGGATGGGTTATATATGCAATTTCTCAATGTGAAAATACCATAAAAGTTTGTTTAACTTACGAGCTGATGTTTTTTGCTGCCATTCGAACTGGTTACCATGGCGACATCCTCATCAACTATATTGTTATCCAATTTATATTATTCTCTTTTATTCTTATTTTTCTGCCGTGTCTTTGCTGCGTAACTCATCCCGCAGCTTTTGAGATATCAACTCTGTTCCAACTCCAGATTGTCCAGCCTGATTGTGTGATGCGTGCTTGTATACAGCTTTTTGATCGGATGCACGGATTCCGTGTAGCAGGGGAATTTTGCGGAATTTTTTCCCATAGAGAATGAATGGGGTAAACATTTGCATGCCAATCTAAGGTACTTCTGCTTGCCCGATCGACACTGTTTTTCATACACTATCTCAGGGCAGGCCCCCAAGCATGAATCCACTGTCGTTCGGACCCACACTCATCCGTTTGTCATTTTATTCCATCATTTGTTTCTCTCATAGACTTACATTGAGCGGACTGTTGGCAGCATGCCAGACATGATGTCATAATGGGCCCTTAACTCACACCCATACAAACTCACACACGGAGCCCAATGTCTCACATCCTCACAGCCTAATGCTCAAGGTGGAACTGCTTTAAAGGTGGAATTGCACTTAGCTAGCACAAGAACTAATCCACCGCCATACTGACCCGCACTCCTCTTTGTGTCATTTTTTCATCCTTCGTTCCTCTCATTGAGTCCCATTCATTTTTGCCACCACTCAGACTCTATTACTTCTTTGCCCGACAGTCGCCAAAATGCATGTAGTCATTCAGGGCAGGTCCCCAAGCTCTAATCCACAGCCATCCTGACCCGCACTCCTCTATTTGTTGTTTTTTCATCCTTCGTTCCTCCCATAGAGTCCCATTCATTTTCACCACCACTCATACTCTATTACTTCTTTGCCCGACACCCACCGAAATGCAAGTACTCACTCAGGGCAAGTCCCCAAGCTCTTATCCACAGCCACACTGACCCACACTCCTCTATTTGTCATTTTTTCATCCTTCGTTCCTCCCATAGAGTCCCATTCATTTTTACCACCACTGAAACTCTATTACTTCTTTGCCTGACACCCACCGAAATGCAAGTACTCACTCAGTGCACCACTCCAAACTCTTATCCACAGCCATACTGACCCGCACTTTCTGATTTTTTCATCCCTTGTTCCTCTCATTAAAATTAGATGCAAATCAATGAATGAACACAAGTTTAAAAAACAATGTATGTTATACAGTCATATAAATATATAACCTATATTCTTTATTTCAGCAGTAACACATAACTGAGTCTGTTGTGTCCATAAAAAGTTTCAGTATCTGGTTTAGCAGCACAATCAGCATGACTCCACCTCAAAAATGACAAGGGTATAAAAAACTAGAGTCTTACTTAGTGTGACCCCTCCCCTAACATTATAATGCTATAAAAATTAGTCACACTTAGCGTGACCCCTCCCCTAACACTATAACGCTGTAAAGATAGAGCCATACTTAGCGTGACCCCTCCCCTAACACTATAACGCTATAAAACTAGAGCCATACTTAGCGTGACCCCTCCCCTAACACTATAACGCTATAAAACTAGAGCCATACTTAGCATGACCCCTCACCTAACACTATAATGCTATAAAACTAGAGCCATACTTAGCATGACCCCTCACCTAACACTATAATGCCATAAAAACTAGAGCCATACTTAGCATGTCCCCTCCCCTAACACTATAACACTATTAAAATTAGAGCCATACTTAGCGTGGCCCCCCCCCAACACTATAACACTATAAAACTAGAGCCATACTTACTGTGACCCCTCTCCTAACACTATAACGCTATAAAACTAGAGCCATACTTAGCGTGACCCCTCTCCTAACACTATAACGCTATAAAACTAGAGCCATACTTAGCGTGACCCCTCCCCTAACACTATAACGCTATAAACTAGAGCCACACTTAAGGTCACTTGAACTTTATTTGTTAATATGTTTAATTGAAGAACATGTAAATGAGCCATGTTTTATCTTACTTATTAGGTAATGGCATCCAAATAAGCTACTGTTTAACATGCTTCTTCAAGATTTACTCAGTTATATGTTTTACAAAAATGTTCAAATATTCACAGTGAAAATTTAATAAGTTATGGTTATTAAATTGAATAATTTCGTGCTTTCATTGTTTCTAACACTAAAGAGCTCTATCACAACATGTCAATATCACAATGTACCACAGAATATACTGACAATATAACAATCAGCCATAACTCCAGAAATAGGGGTTTTTATTAAAGTTCTATTAAAACCTGCAGCATTTCATAATAACTATAACTATAATAACTGAAATTTATTTTTCATTTTCTGAACTGAAGCTCTAATGTTTTCAGCCTTAATCAATCATTAATAATCAGATATTAATCTGCTGTATTAATGTAGGTGTAACACTCACCGAGCTTCTCTGCAGACAGTCAGAGCTGGGATCAGTCTCCTATAACCCTCCTCTGATGTGTTGTATTTCTTCAGGTCCAGCTCATCCAGAACCTCCTCTGAGTTCAGAATCATATAGGCTAGTACTGAACACTGTCCAGGAGAGAGCTTCTCCTCTGAGTGTCTCTCTGAGTTTACATACTCTTGAATCTCTCTGGAGAGAGACGCGTCATTCATTTCAGACAGACAGAGGAACAGATTGATGAATCTCTCAGTGGAGATGTGATATTTATCTTCTCCTTTGATTAACCTCTTGATGTGCTCTGTAGTTCTCTCTGAGCTGCTCTGTGTTGGGGTCAGTAGACTCTGTAGGCGTCTCTGATTGGACTCCAGTGAGATGCCCAGCAGGAAACGGAGGAAAAGATCCAGGTGTCCATTCTGACTCTCTACAGCTTTGTTTACTGCTCCCATCAGAACCTCATCCAGTAGAACATACTTAGACCACTCTCTGTACTGTTGGAAAGGAAACCTCAGTAGAATATTCGTAGACCACTCTCTGTACCGTTCGAAAGGAAACCTCAGTAGATCGTTCTCAGACGTCTCACTGTTTAGTGGGTTAAATATCTGCAGTCCCTCCATGTTGTTGCTCTCATAGCAGTGAAACACATAAACAGCAGCCAGGAACTCCTGAAAGCTCAGATGAAAAAAGCAGTAGACCTTCCTCTGGTGAAGCACACATTCCTCCCTAAAGATCTCACTGTAAATCCCAGAATACACTGAGGCTTCAGTTACATCAATGCTGCTCTCTCTCAGGTCCTCTTCATAGAACATCACATTGCCCATCATCAGCTGTTTGAAAGCCAGTTCAGCCAGTTTCAGTATAACGGTTCTGTTGGACTCCAGCAAATTCTTTGGGTATCTCTCATCTTTCTCCTCATACTTCTCATTGTTCATGTTTGTCTGAGTGAGCAGGAAGTGTGAGTACATTTCAGTCAGAGTTTTAGGGACTTCTGTATGACGCTGTTTCATGATCTGCTGAAGAACAGTGGCTGAGATCCAGCAGAAGACTGGAATGTGGCACATGATGTGGAGGCTCCTCGCTCTCTTAATGTGGGAGATGATTTTCTTGGCTTGGTCTTCATCACTGATCCTCTTCCTGAAGTACTCCTCCTTCTGTGGGTCACTGAATCCCTGAATTTCTGTCACACGCTTGATGTATTTAGGAGGGATCTGATTGGCTGCTGCTGGTCGGGAGGTTATCCAGATCAGAGCAGAGGGAAGCAGCTCTCCTTTGATGAGGTTTGTCATCAACACTCCCACTGATGATGTCATGGTGATGTCAGATACTTTCTCACACTGTTCAAAGTTCAGTGGAATTCTACTTTCATCCAGACCATCAAATATAAACACAGCTTTGAGCTGATCATAAATCTTTGGGTCCAGATCTTTGAGCTCAGGATGGAAGTCACACAGAAGTCCATGAAGACTATATTGATCATCTTTAATCAGGTTCAGCTCCCGGAATGGAAGCACAAACATGAGCTCTACATCCTGATTGGCTTTTCCTTCAGCCCAGTCCAGAATGAACTTCTGCACAGAGACAGTTTTTCCAATTCCAGCGATGCCTTTAGTCAGAACACTTCTGAGCTCTGGCTCTTTTGGTCTGTTATCTTCTTTTCTGTCAGCCTTCACAGCTCTAATGTTCTCTTCTTGTGTTTCTCCTCCAGGACCTGGTAGAGGTTTAAAGATGTCTAAGCAGTTGATTGGAGAGTCTTGTAAGTGTCTCCTGGATGTTTTCTCCATCTGTAGAACCTCATGTTCTTCATTCACTCCTTCACTCTCTCCCTCTATGATGTAGAGCTGTGCGTAAATCCTGTTCAGGAGGGTTTTATTCTCTTCTGTTCTGATTCCCTCAAATAAGCTCTCGTACTTGTTCTTAATGCTGGTTTTGTGTCTCTCTAAGACTCTGTGAAGGATGTCATCCACTGGTTGGTGAATATCTGCCAGAGTGTTTATCTGCAGTGCTGTTTGTGTGGAGTGCTGCCTAATCAGGACCAAACACAGTAACTTAAACATCATTAATACAAATACCCATAATAATCAATTTACCGTACATTTCATTAGATTTGAGCTGTTTAGTTAAAAAAAATATTTTTAGTTTACCTCAAATTCCCAAGATAACTTAACATTATGTTTTTTGCTTTTGATTTCTCTATAACTAACAATTATAAATATTCCCAGCCAATAATGTAGTAATATAATTTCTATAACATTAATTGAGGTTAAATTTGGTTTTAAATATTATAGAACTGGTTATTAATAGTTAAAGGATCACTAACACACTGTGATCTGAGCAGCAGTCAGTCAGAATCAAACCTGTACTGAGACGTGTGGCCCTGTTTGGGTCTCTGTCTCACTAAGCTGATATTAAGTTAGCCAATGAGACTCTGCAGATGCCTTAATGACACAAATCTCAGTGTACAGTGAAAATAACCAACCTGGTTATAGAAGCTGCTCAGCAAATTGTGAGCATGTTGAAAGTGATACTACTATTAATCTTATTACTAGTATCATTATTATTAGTGGTATCATTTAACAATACATTCAAAATAAAGCATTTATCAAATTAAAGTAATGCATTAATAACTAGTAAAATTCATACAAATTAAAAATATATAACATAAATAGTACATAAACACTTTATAAAAGTTTATAAAAATGTAATTATTCACTTTAAGTTTTATACTGTGATTTTCTGTCTCTACTGGTAAATAATATTTGTTGCAATAAACATCATCAAACATAAAATTTTGATTAAATTAACATTGCTATGAATTACTGGTTAACATATGTTCACCACAGTCCCAAAATGAATAGAAGTGAATTGGGAGCTTCTCTGAAATGGTGCTCTCATGCCTGAGCAGCTCATGTCCTTTCACTTTCTTTAAACCTAATAATCAAAGCAGATCTGTTTGTTTTTTTACAGATCTTACAGATTAAAACAGCATTTAGAGCTGGTTTAATGAACCAGAGCTCAGATACATGTTTACAATGATTCACTGTCAGAGCTGCTGTTTACTCGTAGCAGTTATTTACCCCGAGTCAGAGGATCCTCTCCCTCCACTGGACTGTGCTGGTAACATCATGGACTCGTCACTCTTCATAGACACACAGCTGGGTTCTCCTCCTCCACTGCTGAATACAGGAGGGTTCCCCATGGACCGGTCACTTTTCACAGACACACAGCTGGGTTCTCCTCCTCCTCTGTTGAGTTTAGGAGGTTCCCCCATGAACCAGTTACTCTTCATAGACACACAGCTGGGTTCTCCTCCTCCTCTGCTGAATACAGAAGGGTTCTCCATGGACCGGTACCTCTTCTCAGACACAAAGCTGGGTTCTGGAGATGCTGCACGCTTTACTCTGAGAAAAGTTCATCCACAGTGAGATTAAAGTGCTGAGTAATTGTGTTCTTCACTAAGACTCATTTAGTCTGATCATAAGTCACGATTTCCTCTTTCTGTTTAATCAGGTTAAGAGCTGATATAAAGTTACTCACTTTGAATCAGAGGTTCTTCCTCCACTGCTGGAGTGATGAAGCTCCATCACTGAGGTTTTACTCTCCACACACAGCTGGACACTGGAGATGCTGCTCTCTGTGAACACATCATTAATGTAGCATGAAATAATGCCTGGATAATAAATATAACTACAACATATGAAACTAGCATCTTATAAGATACTAGATAACATTTTCATTGGTCAATGTATGTTTTTTTCTTTAAAATTTATTCAGCACTATTTACTACTAGAGAGGTGGTTGAAGCAGATGCAGGAATCTACTGTAGAGCTCAGACTGTCCATCACACAGAACTGCACACTATGCAGCCTAAGGCAGCTGCCTTTTAAGGTGCCTTATTTTGACCAAATCTGAAGGCAGCATCGCATGTATCCTTCTCAGCAAAGACAATCCCACAATACCATTCACCTGCTTACCAGCTGAGAATTCCATCGCTTCAGTTTAAATTATGTGTGATACATGATGATGGAAACAGTGTTGAATAAACAGTGACATTGTGACGATGTAAATCTCATATTTCAGCTTCATCTGATCTCCATAATAATGTCCCTGTGTAATACTGATCCAGAACTGTGTGGTCATTCTCAGGTGGACGGTGTTGGAGTGGAACAGTAATCTGATCTCTCAGTAAATGGTCCATCACTCTGACCTGCTGTAGTTCAGCCGTGTACAGATGACCACTCTACTCAGAGCTAATAGAGGCTCAGACTCTCCATTAGGCTACAGTTAGGTTCTCTTTAGTTCCACAGGACTAATCCTGCTATGGCATCTTCAGGATCTTCATATAAGAGTAGCTGATGGAAACACTCAGAGACTGATGAACTGAACTTTTACAAAACTGTATTTACTGATAGAATCTTAGTATAAACAGACAGTAGGACTGATCACCTCTATAATCCTGATAATCATTATCAATAATGTTACTATCTCTGTCTGATCTATCAGTTCATTATTAATAAACTGTATTTACTGATAGAATCTCAGTATAAACAGATAGTAGAACTGATCACCTCTATAATCCTGATAATCATTATCAATAATGTTACTGTCTCTGTCTGATCTCTCAGTTCATTATTAATAAACTGAATTTACTGATAGAATCTCAGTATAAACAAACTGTATAACTGATCACCTCTATAATCCTGATAATCATTATCAATAATGTTACTGTCTCATCCTCAACATTCACATTTAACAAGGACATTAACACCTTATTTACTCCTATTTAGATTTTAATAAACTGTCATTAAAATTATATTTATTTACTCTTGATTTTAATAAACTGTCTTATTAACATCATATTTATCTACTTTAGATTTTAATTAGTGTCCTCTTATTGTTTTATGAATGTTGTGTATAATTTCTCTGTGATAAGCTAAGTATAAAGGTGTTATTAAAATAAAGATAGTTATTAATGCAGATCAGAGGACTCCTCAGTGATATCTGTGAGGAACTGAAAGCACTGTTACCTTTTCTGAGGTTTGTCTAGACGTCTTCAGTGAGAAAGTCCTCCTTCATCTGTGTTCATTTACAGCAGGTCTACAAGAGAAACATCACTGACCACCAACACAGACACTTCATCTCCATTTCAGTAGAGTATCTTCTCCCACTGGAGCCTTTAGATCACTCTGTCTCAGTCCAGACTGAACCAGAACACGGCTGAACTTTGTTTCCTTTAGAACCAGAGAAACTGGTTGGAGCTCATTTCAGTCTCATTACGTCACCAGAGGATCTGACACTACACTCTGCTGCAGATCTGACAGAGATCACCAGTTAAAGTTTAGACTAAAAGTCTTCATTTCAGTTACTCTGACCTTTCACACATGAACTGGTTTAACTGGTCTGACTTCTGAGAGGAACACGTTCCAGCAAAGAACTGAACACATTCCCATGGAAGTTTGTTCCAGTATTCATAAAGTCCACTCCATGTTTCAGCCAAACATTAATTTTCAATGACATTCAATTAAAAAAAGAAGTTTACTGAACTTGATTTACTGTCACACAGCCTGAAAGAACTGTGTTGCTCTAGTGTCTGTTGCAGCTCTGCAACTGAGCAGACTAATACATTACTGCCCCCTAGTGGAGCACAATATTAACCAGAACCACCAGTAGTTTCATATTCATTCCAAACATGCACTACAAATTATGCTGAATGTTTATGTTTCCTCAATTTCAGTATTTCCCTTATTGTGGCTCTTGTATCATCAACCTCTATCTGGTCAGGCAGAGACATTAAGCAATTATCAACTTAAATACTAAGAACCACAAACCATTAAACTGAGAATAACTATTTAACTCTCAGCTGTAAGTCCTCGTCTGTTTGATGTCCTGTTGTAACAAACACAGCTTATTCACAGGCCACTCCAGCATGTATGTCTTGGTTTGTAGCTGGACACGGTGTACTGGTCCACTGAAGTCAGGTAAGGCCTGGTTTGTTTTTTCTATTATCTAGGAGTTTTGTGGGGATGAACTACATACAACTATTTCAATATCTCTATGCTTGAAGGTTCTTCTCGGTCTGGATCATTTCTGGTGCTCTTGTAAAAGTGGCAGATGTTCCCAAGTTCATCTGGTCCTGGTAAGAAGCACTTTAGTCAGAGGATCGTATTTATAGTCTACACTAAACTTCCTTTCAGCCTCTATACACACACCGTTCATCTCAAGAGCAGCAAGTTCTCCTCAGTATTATGCATTTTAATGTCTTTGGGCTTCACTGAAAAGGGCGGAGCAGCTTTCTAGCTCGCACTAATGTAGAGGCCCACCTGGAGGACCACCATATGTCCTGAGGTCGTTGATGTCAAGGTGATGGACATATTGCGCTGCCACTCTTCCAGGGTTTCCCTCTGCCTGATGCCTACCTGAACCTGGAGGGGTGATAAAACAATAAAAGAGAACAGATTCAGAGTGATGATGTCATTCACATCAGCTCCTGAAGGAATGACTCATAGCCCACTTCCCCAACGTCGCCTGACAGGAGCGTCCAGTGGACAAGAAATGAAAAAGAAAAAGTTACCTGGCAGGTCAGACTTCAGTCTTGTGTATATAAGACGCTCCATTTGTGTCTCCTTTATATTTAAAGTGATGTGTGTACAAAGTTTTAAAACGCATTGAGGTGTTAAAACTTTTCATACACAAAACTCTGCGCATTTTTGGATCGGCATCGGCTGAATAAAGACCATTAGAACCATTAGAGTCCTTTACACTGTGATATCAGCCATCAGGAGGACACTAAACACCATCAGTACCTACTGGACACCACCAGGAACCAGCAGACCCTCTTCATGGTTTGTGTGGCTGTTTTCAGTGGGGGCTGCTTTACTGTGAGTCTCAGCGAGACCCCTGCATTGAGAAGGTAAAGAAGCAGTGCTCCAGCTTGCTATTTATTCAAACGCGCCGCCTCCACACAAATAGTCTTGCTTTTCATTTTGGCGCCCAGGTTAACAGGTCAGCATGTTCACACAACCTGCGCGAGTCCCAGACACGCAACAAAATACACTGAAATAAGCCGTGAAGATCAGTGAAGATCAAACAGAGAACCGTGTACAAACTTTACAAACGCTGCTTTTATTTAGTTCATGACGAAACACCAGTCAGTCATTCTGAGCTGCAGACAGATTTCCTGACTGGTCCACCAGGCCTGAAACTCTCTCCTAATCACAGTCAGAGCGCTGTGGAGGACAGACACACAGACAGAGAGACAGGCCATGCACTTTTTATAACGTATGTGTTTATTGATCAGAGTGACCGATGTGACTGTCTGTCCGTCTGAAGCAGGACTGTCTGTGTAACCGTCTCTCTGCAGCTCAAACGCTGTATGTGTGAAAGACCAGTGCGTTCAGCTGTAGGAAGGCGCAGTTGGACATCCAACCCCGCCCACATCCGACCTGGCCTACTGCACGTCACCTCACGAGCCTGTCAATCATGAACCACAACATAGCGCTTGATTTACGCATGTAGCGCAACATTGTTTACAGGTTTTCCACATTGGCTTTTCATTGTTAGACTGATCATTGCTTCTCTTTTCAGTTAGGATATCTACTGAACACATATCCACTCTCGTTATCAACAATCAGTGGACTATTATATTGAATTGTAGAATCTTTAAGTAATTGGCAGCCAAAATCCCCAAACTTGTCAGTACACATTGTAAAATGGTCATTTCCAATAAGTAGTCCATAAAACCAACAGATATGTAGATAGATAGATAGATAGATAGATAGATATGTAGATAGATAGATAGATAAACATGTACATAGATAGATAGATAGATAGATATTGTCTGTCTATCTATCTATCTATCTATCTATCTATCCATCTATCTATCTATCTATCTATCTACATATTTATCTATCTATCTATCTACATATTTATCTATCTATCTATCTACATCTCTATCTATCTACATCTCTATCTATCTACATATCTATCTACATATCTATCTACATATCTATCTATCTATCTGTCTGTCTGTCTGTCTGTCTGTCTTCTACAAACATTTGTGAAGGAATGGGTCACTCTCAGGACGTCCAGTCGTGAAATTTCCTCGCTACTAAATATTCCACAGTCACAACTGTCAGTGGTATTATAACAAAGTGGAAGCATTTGGGAACGACAGCAACTCAGCCACGAAGTGGTTTGGCCACGTAAATTACAGAGCGGGGTCAGCGGATGCTGAGGCAAATAGTGCGCAGAGGTCGCCAACTTTCTGCAGAGTCAATCGCTACAGACCTCCAAACTTCATGTGGCCTTCAGATTAGCTCAAGAACAGCGTAGAGAGCTTCATGGAATGGGTTTCCATGCCCGAGCAGCTGCATCCAAGCCTTACATCACCAAGCACAGTGCAAAGCGTTGAATGCAGTGGTGTAAAGCGCCACCACTGAACTCTAGAGCAGTGGAGACGTTTTCTCTGGAGTGACGAATCACACTTCTCTGTCTGGCAATCCGATGGATGAGTCTGGGTTTGGAGGTTGCCAGGAGAACGGTACGTGTCTGACTGGATTGTGCCAAGTCTAAAGTTTGGCGGGGGAGAATTATGGTGTGGGGTTGTTTTTCAGGAGTTGGGCTCGGCCCCTTAGTTCCAGTTAAAGGAACTCTTAATGCTTCAGCAGACCAAGAGATTTCGGACAATTTCATGCTCTCAACTTTGTGGGAACAGTTTGGGGAGTTTGGCCCCTTCCTATTCCAACATGACTGTGCACCAGTACACAAAGCAAGGTCCATAAAGACATGGATGAGCAAGTTTGGTGTGGAAGAACTTGACTGGCCTGCACAGAGTCCTGACCTCAACCCAATAGCACACCTTTGGGATGAATTAGAGTGGAGACTATGAGCCAGGCCTTCTTGTCCAACATCAGTGTCTGACCTCACAAATGCGCTTCTGGAAGAATGGTCAAAAATTCCCATAAACTCAATCCTAAACCTTGTGGAAAGCCTTCCCAGAAGAGTTGAAGCTGTTATAGCTGTAAAGGGTGGGGAGACATCATATTAAACACTATGGATTAAGTATGGGATGTCACTCAAGTTCATATGCGTGTGAAGGCAGATGAGCGAATACTTTCAGCAATATAGTGTATCTCTATCTATCAAACATGATGTGGTGGCTGTAATTCTTTTTCATTTTCCTTTCTATAACAGATTCAAGACCACTAGGAACAGTCTTAGCAAGTCCAGGGTTACACAGGTCAAAAGCTACCACTCTAGCCAGTTAGTATATTTTATACTATGTGAAAAACTGAAAGTGTTTTTTTTTCAGGAAACACTGACCATTTGTTGTTTTAACTCAGTCGTTTTATGTAGAGCTCAGATTTGAAAAGATTAGAACTTCTTTTACAGATAACTGTGCAACAGACAACGTTCAGCCTTTTTGTCCTCAATATGAAAGTAAGGCAGCAAGTAATTCTTCATAATTTTATTGAAATGATTTAATTCTTATTTAATTGTGAATTTTTTAGTACATGCAATTGTCATTTGAAAAAAAAAATCTTCAAATTATTTGCTATGTAATTAACAGGTAGCTCATCTCGTGCATATTGTGAGGCCCCTCTAATGTCTCCTTATTACAACACTCAAATTTGTAAGCACTATTTTACAGCAAAGACAATTAGATAACTTTTTACAATGATGTCTACAAGATAACAACATACTATTTCTAATATCATGAGTTGTGAATTGCTGACTGACAAGAAATGTACTTGATTTTCAGGTAGCTATAACAATGAGCATAAACCATGATCCCACTCTCAGTTTCAAAGTAAGACATTGTCCAAATATTAGTGAAAATTGTTAGGTTAGGTGCCAGTGGTAGTAATTAATATTCACATCCACTGAACAGATGCAAATCCTCCAGGAATGGATTGTAGAGGACCACACATGTCAAATTCATACAGCTTCCAAAACTGTAAGCACCAATACCAACACCTACATTCAGAGAATACAGCGTCAGCTTGGGCTTTATTAAGTCTAAATGTAGCTCAAACACACATTCATACATGCACATATGAATATGCACAAAATTACAGGCCTCAATTTGACAGTAAGGCGGATTCATGTTACAGATGTTTACTTTTTCCCACTTTCTTCCTAACTTAATAGTAATGGCAGGATCTATTTTACAGAAGTCTTTTAGATATATTCAGGGA